GTACCAAAAAAAGCACATTCCAACCATGGGGAAGGGAAATAAAGCAATCGAGATGAATCTGGAACATCTTACTAATCCAGACAGTAAGGAAATGCTCAAAAAATGATACAAGCATTACAAAAGGACACAAGAACCAGCTTGAAGCTGTTCCCAAGAATCAAATCTGGAATAATTTAAGCTTCAAAATAAATGAGAGAAATTACAACCCTTTGAGTAAAATAGGAATTAATAAATCTGATACAAATACATTTCATAGATGGAAGAGAAGATAAAGTTCTTCTTTATAATAAATTGCCAACAAATTGAAGTTAAAAGATAAAGTCAGAAAATCAGCATTTGATAAACATCACACTAAAACTGATTCAGGCATCATCAGTGGATGTTAAAACTAATAGACAAGAGTGTGACAATAAATTATCTACTTAGTCTTACAATAGCTCTCCAAAAGTTTATAAATTAAAAGGGGAATAACTTTATACCATGTCTAGTTAACATCATCAATTATGGGATAAATGCACATTTTATTCCTCTTCATATAATGCATTGAGAATTAATCATTTCTGTAGTAGTCCTGCCAAAATATATAATCTTAATCTATTTATAAAACATATACAAATCCATAATTGAGGCATAATCCACAAAATAATCAGCAGGTACTTTTCACAAAAGTAAAGGTTAAAAAAAAGGAAAAGAAAGGCTGAAGAACTGTTCTCCAAATTAAAGAAATCTAAAGAGACATGACAACTAAATGCAACATGTAACAACAGACCAGACTTGGAACAAAAATCTTTTTTCCTATAATAGATATAAAAGACACAATTAGCAATGCTTTAAGAGATCTGTAGGTTAGATAGTAGGACTGTAATAATGGAATTTCTTGACTTTGATAGTTGCATTTCTATTCCTAGATATACAATTAAACTATATTTCCCTGTCTTCTTCAGAGTTAAGTATGACTGTGCAACAGTTTTAGCTGCTAGGCCTGACAACAAAAACCTCTCACTCATAATCCTCTATCCCCTCTTCTGCCAGCTGTATACACACCCATAAGCATGAGGAAAACAAATTCTACTACAAGAAGCCAATGAAATTTGAGAGTCTATTACTATAGTTAGTGTTATATGAATTAAAACAAATTATCATAAACAATCTTCCAATTGTCACTATAAAAGGAATTATACTTACAAATTGAGGTTTGTAGTATGCTGGTCCTAGCATGCTATCATTTGCAGGTGGAAAGCATTTTATAATTCTGCCATCTTCATTAATATGATAACCATATGACTGTCCACAAGAAGAAATTGAAGGAACATCTACATTTCTGTTAACAGTAGGTATTCTTGAAATTTTCTTCAAACATAGAAATGTTTATTTTATATTACTTATTCAAAAGGAAAAGGAATAAAGAATCAAATATTAAGATTTACTAAAAGGCAACAAATGCTGACCAAATGAATTTCATAATATAAACCAAAAATGTTTGTTTTGTAAAAGTAACTTAAAGAACTGAATTCAAGTTACAACTCATCTTATAAGCTAACAAAACAGGTATTACTATTAAAGCCACCATAAGAAGCAAGAATTTTCTCTCATTTAATTAACTATTTATCTCATGTAATACAGCAAACAGTAATGATTCAAAAAAAAGACACTTGTATAGCCACATCACCAGTGCAATCTGCCACACAAAAACAAATATTTTCAGTAACATTTCCTGGCTTCATTCCTCCTGATTCGTGACTTATCTAATTACCTGTACCTGTATAAATATGCTGATAATGCAAACTATATAGGAGGAAAATGAAAATGTTTATGATAGATTGCTAAATGAAAATTTTAAATATAAAATTTTTATTTTCTATTTGGAATTTTGAATATAGCTGTGCAAGTTATAAATAAATGTATAAAGTCATATAAATACTAGAAAAGAAGGGCCGGGGATTAAGCTCAGTGGTTCTGCTGCCTGCCTTGCAAGCGAAAAGACCTGAGTTTGATCCCCAGTACCCAAAAAAAAAAAAAAAAAATGAAAAGAAGCTCTGCCAAAATTAACAAAAATACTGATGTTAGAGTCAAAAGTTTTGGGTTGATTATCCTTTTTTCAAAATTACTTTAATGTAAAATATTTTATAATTTAAAAACAGGAGTGACATATATTAGAAACATTAATATAAAATATATTAAATAAAAATATTGGCATTTAAAGGATTTAGTTATCTGGAAAATTGATTTATTAGGAATATATTGATCTCTGTATTTTCTGGATAAATAATAAGGACTATAGTTGTTTTACACATGCCCATATACAATCATCTTATTTAAAAAACTACCCTGGTAGAATTTTATTTTTATCTCTTGAGATAACTATTAAGCAGTTTCAGTAATACTTGTGAGGATTAATTACCAAATTAAAACAGGAAAGCGCTGGATGGCTTCCCCTCCATTCAGTATCTGCATGATATCAAGACTTTCCAAAGGGGGATCCCATATCTCCTTCTCCAACTTCTATTTCCACCATTGTCCCTTAAATCTTATACTCTAGACCTTTCAAAGAACCCTGTCCTTTCTTGAACACACAACTATACTAAACACACCTGAATGTCTTTCTTCATGTGATTTTCTCTTTCTAGAATTTTTTTAACTCATCCATGAATTCTTCTATAAGAATGGGTTCATTTTGTTCCCCTATTCCCTTCAAAGACTCTCTACTCTGGGCTAATAATGAACATTTTATTATGGCTCTAAGATACCATTACATAAACCCTTACGTGAGGAAATGAATATTTACTCTGCCCCCACACATGAAATATCTAATACTCAACCTCACTGTCATTGCAGTGACATTATTCAACTAAGTATCTAGCCTTAAAATATTAACTTCTAGACAGGAAACTGATTAAAATGCAATTAATTTGAGCTATGAAGTTATGGCAAAATAAGGAAACTCTAAATGAAATATGACTAAATCCACTAGATAACATTATTTATTTCAATAGGTGTTTGGTATAAAGTGACTCTTGATATAACACCAACAAACTTTTACAAATATATTACCAACTAGTCTCCCATACAAAGATTTTACTCCTGTTTAAAAATCCTTTTATTGCCTCCCATAAAAGCCGACTTCCACATTTCCACTCTTATAGCACTCCATAACTGAAATGCATATTCCAATACCATTCTTCAAGGCCCATCTCAAAACCAAATTTCTTCATTCTCTTTTAAATTTCTATAACTTTCAATTACATAATCATTCATTTAGCACCTTTCACATTTTGTCTTGAATTAGAAGCTAGACACATGTCTCTTTCTCATCTAAAGTTTTAGCTTTTTTATTTCATAAATTATAGTTTTGCAGTTTTTTAATGTGTTTTGTTTTGTTTTGCAGTTCTGGAAATCAAACCCAAGGTCTCTCATGCTTGCTAGGCAAGGTCTCTATCATCAACCTCCCCCTCATGCCCCTTCCAGGAATCATGGTTTTAGTCATTGTTTTATTAGCAGTTATTTAAGCAGAGCTCCCCTCCATATATAAATAAATCACTCTATAAATAGAGAAACTGGTGGTTTTAAAAATCTCCCTTGTTTTCTATTCACTCTAGACACTGGAAGTAATTATGGATTCCTCAAGGGCAAAATGTGAGCCTGGGGGTGCCTAGCATGTATACCATGGGTTCAGTTCCCAGCACTGGGGTTGGAGGGAGTAAACAATGAAGTTAGATACCCTAATACAGTTAAAAACTAAAGTTTTTAAATATCACTGAGTATTCATTTAATTATAAATTAACCACAATATGTATACTATTAAATGTTATAGAAAAGCTTTTTAAACACATCAATATCACATCAAATATTAAAGCTTTTCTATTTAACTAAAATATCACTGGAAGCATAATTTAAAATAGTAATGTTCTGATTGAAGATGCTCTTTAGGTTCTATTATTTTTCTCTTCAGGATATCTAGTGTTCCACAATAAGACTGTCCATAACTTGTAGGTCCTGGGTTATCTTAAATAAACTTCTTAAAACGCTTCTCTCGGTTTTGTAAACTATGGCCTCCTTTTATATTACACTGAATTGGATACAAAAAATTATGAAATAATACGAGGTGCTTTATAATTCCTATTTGACCAATAATTATTAAAATATAGTTTCACAACCCAACCTGAAAAAGTTAAGACCCTTAGTTGGGAACACAGTTCTAGCAAAACAGAATCATGAGAAGATGACAATTATAGTTATCAGTTTTAACTTTGAACTCAAATTAAAATTTACAGTACTCTAAGAGAAGACAAAAAAATACAGTTTTAAACAGGAATCAAAGATAGACTTCCCAAAGATACAGAACAGAAATAAAGAGTGTATATTTAGCAGGACACTAGAAAATTTATACTTCTGAAATGAGCTTTTAAAATGCTGGCATTCATATTGCAGTGAAAAGGCAAACTCCAAGGTTGTGTAGGATTCGTTATTTCCATAAATAACACACTGTTCAATTCCAGGGAAGTTCATGTAGATTTGTTGGGAAAGTCTGGTTTTATGCTGAGATTAATTTTAAACATTTTCATTGCATAAAACATACCAAGAAGACTCTTCTATGGCTCACTATGCCATATATTTGGACTTTTCAGAATCATAAAATTTCCAAAAAATGAAAGAGTATATTTATGATTATGAAAATACTAGCGCTATAGCCACTATTTCTGAAAGTGAATGGTAATCACCAAAGATATTGGTCACAGACTCTTTCCACTGCATGAACAGGAGACAGATAAAACAATGGCAATGGCTATAGCTTTGGAGTTAGGCACAAAAACTGATTCCTTCACTCTACTGCCACATCTCTTCTACATTACCTTGACCATGTGCAAAATCTCCAGATTCATAATTACTCACAAGTATGATTCTCCCATTCTCATGGGCCATGCACATACAGAATAAGGAAGAATACACAATCAGGCAAACAATATCGAACACATTTATTTTCTATTATTTGAATTTAAAAATGCAGATTGTAAACAGAAAGAAGATGATACATGGGGACAATAAAAAATGACAGATGATATTTTGGTCTGTTAGAGAAAGAAAATATGATTTTTATTAACTAAGGCAATTATAATTTATAATAATATATATAATATAATAATAATATATAATATAATAAATGTACCTGTTCTTCTGAAACATTATAGTGTCCTGGACCTGGGACATCTTCTTCAATAGTGGAGACAACAGCAAAAGTGCTTTCTCTAGCAGTCAAAGAAAGAAATGGTGCATAGCCATCTATAACAAAAATAAAATTGTATTACTGGGAGATAAGATAGAATTCCAAGGATTTCAGAGGGAAAAAAAACCAGTCCAAATATATATAATAATTTAGTAACCTGGATACTGAGACTATATTTTCAGAATTAATGGCTAGCTCAAAGAAATTATATTTTAAAATTCTAAAATAAGATCATAACTCTATTAATATATATGAAATTTTAAAACAAAGAACTGGGCTTACTGAACAACTAAAAACTATCTAACAAAAATAGAAAACAAAAGCCTTTGTCTACAAAATGAAAATGGTATTTCTATTTATCTGATAAAACATTTCATCCTCAGAAAACTACTGCTTTAAAATGTAAAACAGCAGCCAGGGATACAGCTCAGTGGTTCTGTCGCCTGCCTCACAAGCCCAAGGTCCTGAATTCCATCCCTGGTATAAAAAACAACAAAAAATGTAAAACAGCATAACTATTGTAGAAATAGCAATATAAATTTATAGAGATAAGCTAAATAAGAATTTAAAGTGGATTTACAGCAGCTGGCTGATAATATCTCTTTGCCTTAGCACATTCTGTAATTGGTACTAAATATTTCTCAATTACCTAACTGCAGACAAAGGTTTACAAACTTCACTGGAACAAACAAACAAAAGATCTGACAGTGATTTTTTATTTCAAAACTGTATTGGGAAAAATTATATAATTTAAGCAACATGAACATTAAAAAAAAGAGGAGAAAGGACTGATCAGCTATATTTCACGGGTAATAAGAGAATTAAAGAACCCATAACTTATAGACTAAAGGAAAACATGAACTAGTGAAGAGTTTATGGTGATAACTGATAAAGTAAAAATCTTACTAATCTCAACTAATAGTAAAAGATTATTTAAAACTTTCTTTCGAGCCCACATATATTAAATTGCAAATGAAATCAAGAATTACTTATTTGTATTGTGTTAGGTACTGTAACATAAAAGAGGTGAGAAAAATATAGAACTTATCCTGTTAGCTGGGGATTTAGCTCAGTGGCACTGCACCTCACAAACACAAGGTCCTAAATTCAATCCCCAGTACCAAAAAAAAAAAAACTCTTAAAGAATTAAAATAATTATTAAAACAAGGAAAAATATCTCAAGTGACATAATTGAAAACAAATGCCCAGAAACTCCAAAATGGAAGTCATGATCCACATTTGAGGTGACTAGGAAAAGCTCCATGGACAATGTTAAAACTCTGGGTGTTAATTTGGCTAAGACTGTAGCTCAGTGTTAAGAGCACAGGCTTAGTATGTGCAAGGCCAGGGTTCAGTCTCTAGCAAGTGCACGCACATGCACACAAACACATACATACAAACACACACATACAGTTAAACTGGCTGTCCTAAATCAACATGGGGGGAAACAGGAAAGAAATATATGTATATTACAAATTATATATATAACATATATATTACATATGTATTAGAGCATATGTGAAAGTAGAAGTTACAATCATAGCACAAAAGATGACATGGAGAAGAGGAAAGCACATAATTTTGAGGTTTATATGTAAAGTATGTATGTGAGGTGGTGCAATATTATTTGAAAGAATACTGTGATAAATTAAAAATGTACATTGCAAACCTTGGGCAATCACTTAAAAATAAAGCAAAGATATGTTAGCAAATGGGCCAATTATGAGGATAAAAAATAATCAATGTTTTAAAAATTCAATTCATGCAGTGTCGATAGATGTTATGTTTTAGATGGAGACTGTTCCCCCAAAGCATTATGCCTTCAGAGCAGGGCTTCTGGAAGCTGACTGGATCAGGGGGACACTGTACTCATTGATGGAGAGAGTGCCCTTGGAAAGTGGGGCCCGGGGGAAGTAGATGTGGAGGCTCACTGGGGCTTTGACCTGAAAGGGTATATCTCTCAGGCTCCTGCTTTCTGTGTACCATAACTTGGGCAGCTTTCTTCTGCACAGGCCCTTCCACCATGGTTTCTGTCTTGGTGCCATTCAACCACGGACTGAAAATGTGAGCTATTATGGCTTGTATCTAGATGTCTCCCCCAAAAGCCTCATGCAGACATAGTGGGAGCTTTATGGAGATGGCTGGATCTAGGGTGTGTGATGCTGGGATCAAGGATGCAATGCTAGGTTTAAGTGACTGCTACCTGCCCTAAGGATGGGTATCCTGAATAAGATATAAGAGACAGAAAGAGGGTCATCACTTGTACCTTGCTACCTTCTGCCACCCATGAACTATTTCTCCTCTGCCATGCCACCCTTCCTTGGAACCAGCTATAGAATGAAACCTCTAGGAACTGTAAACCAAATAAACCTTTCCTCCTTTAACTTTGGGTGCCAGGTATTTTGCCTCAACCACAAGAGAAGTAACTAAGACATGAGCCAAAATAAACCTCTTCTTTAAATTGTAGGTGTTAGGTATTTTGTCCCAGCAACTAGAAAGTGACTATGACAGTAGAGAAAGAGGAAAGGAGAAACAAAGAACAAATACAAAACAAACAATAAGAGGTAAATGTAAACCCAATGACATTGATAAATTAAATGTAAAAAAAAAAATTAAATGTAAAGTTCTCAACATTTAAATTAAACACCAGAAATTATCACACTGGATAAAAAAGAGAGATCCAACTTTATGCTATCTATAAGAAATTCTCTTAAAACATATGCACAGAGTCTGTTCAAAATAAAAGGATGAGAAGGATATACCATGCTTCCAAGAATCAAAGAAAGGTACAGTTTCTAAATTAAAATCAGACAAAAAAGATTGTAGCATAAGAATAACCAGTGATAAATGACAAAGGTGTCCTTTCATCAAGAGGACTGAACAATCTATAAAGAAAACCAAGGATGTGATTACCATAAAAAATTAAGATAGTGCTTACAGAGAAAAGGTTACACTTGAAAAGGAAATTTTGGCAGTGTTCTATTTCTTTACTTGATTACTCACTTTTTAAACTCTGCATTTATATATTATGCAATTTTCTGTACAAGTATTATTAAATCTCACAATTAAAGGCATACTTTTTAAGTTAGAATATACACTTAAGGTACTATACGGTACAGTAATTGAAATGACAAGTAAGAAACTAAGTTTAAACTAGTTCTGAGGCAGTTGTCATCAGAACATGGTAGACCTCTAAACTGAATGTACCCCTCAAAAATGTAAAATTAATTGAAAAATATTGAAATTCATTAAAAATGGGAAAAAACACAAAACAGCCCCATGCAGTCAACATATTATTGATGGTAAAATATATAAGATATTATATATATAGATATTATATATATATAGATATATAAAAGAAGTGGGTAACAAAGAAATCAAGAAAGCCAGCATTATAAAGTTTTCATTGAAGTAGACTCTTCTGTCAATAAGCTGAAAGTATATATGAAATTTTGAACACAAGTGAAACCACAAGAAAATTTAAACGTTTCTAATGATAAACTCCACAAGGGAAGAGACTTTTTTGTTTTATTTACAGCTCATTTTTTGTTTTATTTACAGCTTGTACCTAAGGTTTACAGTTAGGGTGACCAACTGTCCCAGTTTCCCCAAGACATGGGGCTTTTAGCACTAAAACTAACACAGTCCCAATAAAACCAGGATGGTTGGTCACTTTACCAGAGTGCAAGGCTTAGTAAGTAATAATTACAGAATTTCTGTTTGTTTGTTTGGGAGTCAGGGTCTCACTGTGTAGTTCAGGCTGGTCTTGAACTCAAGGCAATCCTCCTGCCTCAGCCTCCCAAGTGCTGGGATTACAGGCATATGCTACCATGCCGGACAATAACATATTCTAAATTACACATTTATTCATTCATTCAACAATACAAAATGCTCCATTACATGTAAGATATTTATATATGACAGGCAATGAGGATACAATAATCAATAAGATAAAAATCTACCTTCAAATAGTGGAGAAATTAAACAAATAAACACACTATAGTTCTGCCAGTAATTAATCTATAAAATATAGAAGATAGTTCTGGGAAAGGAGGATTGTTGGAGTTTGATTTGAGTCATATAAATTGACATATGAAGTACCAACTACAAATGATAAATTAAAATGACAGAAGAAATTAAGAATGTAGGAGAAGAAAAGCTTTGAGAGAAAAAAAAGTTTAGTTTGGATATATTGAGTTTGAGGCACCAATAAAAAAAGATAAATCAAAATGTTATGAAACAATAAAAGGCCATTCTGAGACAGAAAGTGGGCAGTATGTGAACTACAGAACAAATTCTATAGCCACAACAACACCCACAGAACAAAAGACATTCCTGTCATATAAGAAATAACTAGATCTTTGAAACATGCACTCATCTCAGGGATATCAACCTATACAGCAATCATAAATATTAATTATTTAAACTTAAAGACAAACTGCACTCCCTCAGATAGCCTCCCTATATTCTGATTGCTAATAGGATAAAATCACTGTTGGCATAAGTACACAGGCACAAGTACAGGAACACTGACCTCAACATTCCCTCAAGTAAAGCTCCCCCATCAAAGAAAAACTCTGGGAATGAAAATATTTAGGAGATAATGTCACACAATTTAGTTAATATGGAACCAATATAGAAAACCTAATAGACAGCTAATATACAAACAAACTTAAATAGCAATGAAATACATAGTCCTTAGCACAATACCAGGAGCAGTCACATTATTGAAAGAAATAGATTTTCATTGCATTCTACTAGGCTAGTTGTCTCTGGGGAAATTTACTTTGGTAAATTGTGCTTGCTTCTCAGGCAACTTTAAGAAAATCAGTCACAGCTCTCACTAATCTGGAATTTAAGTCTCCATTATCTACCTCTCCCACTTAGAAAGCAAAGCAGCTTAGTCTTGTCCCTTTCAGGTTGCAAGTTGTGGATAAAGGAGATTCTCAAGTGAATGGCCTAAAACCAAGAGAATGAAGTTTGTAAATCAAAGTAAAAAAAAAAAAAAAAAAAAATTCCTAAGGAAAATACTAAGACAATACACTGAAGAACTGACAGTGTTAAGAGGAGAGGAGTAGATAGGAAAAAGGGTTTGGGAATAAATACCTGCAGCCAAAGTTTTAAATCCTCTCCTCTTATAAAGGTCAATGCAACAAGTAAAAAAACACATGAGGTAGAATATACACACTAGGTAAGAGATGGTAGATGCTTTTAAGTTATCTTGCCAGGGAATCCGGCAGAGAAACCATTAAAGAGATACCTGTTCCTTCTATTAATTATCAGCATGTTATCCCTCAGTATCACTGAAAACACCCATCTGCTGAGTTTCTGGGCATGAAATTTCTGAGGTTTCTTTCATAGGTCAATGAAGTTTGGTTCTTGACCACACTATAAGAAGGCCAGTCCACAACCTATTTACTGATCTCTAAGACTTGGTAAAATTTTGTTATATGTAGTTTATTATTTTAATTTTATTGTTTTCATTGAGCACTTCTGTGTTATGGTATTGGGCTAAAATCTGAGAAGAATAAAGATCATGATTATTATTACCTCAAGAAACTTATAGGGCTTCCAGATATGTTAACAATAATTATAGCATAGAATCAAGGCACTACAAGAGTCATTGAGAAGTCAAAAAAGTAATATATTAAGAGAACACTTCAGTTGAGTCTCAAAAGAATAGGAAATAGTCAAGTATAAAAGGAAAACAGAGCATACTGAGCAAATGTATTAGCAAGTTAAAAAGTACAAAAGTGAATATGAATTTATAGCACCAAAACTGCAAAGCTGAAATTGCTGAAATGAGGTCAGGGATAGGAGGGTGTATGGGGTGTGGGTGGGTAGAAAGATCAGGTTGAGTGGGAGATGATGTCAGGGATGAGAATATAACCTTACTTATGTTAAGGATTTCAGATTTTTAACTTTGGTATCACAAAGTAGTTTTTCATTTTTGTCTTTTGAGGGGAGGTTTGTTGCAATGGGCAGCCATGGAAGCACAGAGGATGAAAGACTACTCAGAGTGATTCAGTTAAGGCTACTGAGAGGCCAAGAGAGGCTAACTTTCATCAGCATGAGAAAACCTCTGGAGGCTATTTGCAATTCAAGGACCTAAGAACAAAGAAGTAGAAGGAAAAAATTTGTAACATTTATATAGGAGTTTTGGTCAGGGGACAGGGAAATGGGATAGTCTGCCTCGACCTACTATAAGCAAACTTATCAGGGTAGGGGGAGCACAATGGCCAGAACGAACATCTCTTGAGAATAACTTGTTGATTCTCCTCAGCTGTAGCCTCTGCAGATCTGCTCTAATCTTTAACCATGCATTCCAGAAGCCTGGGAACTGCTGACCCAATGCCCCTTCCTTTTAAATTCATTTCAAGCACTCCTCTAGCCAGTTTCCCCACAGAGGTGGTTGAAGTTGTTTTTACAAATAAGATAATTATTACACCTAAGATCACTTGAACCACATGATAGAAGATGACTTGGGACTGAAATTTTAAAAAAACCATTTATTGGTTTGATTCAGAATAACGACTTGAACTAAGCCAGACACAGTCAACTGGACAGAGGGAAAACACTTTCAGAAAGATTATAAAAATAGAATCAGTAGGTATTAGTGACCAATAGGAATGGTCAGGTAGAGGAGGGTAGGATAGATACACTAATAGTGAATTTGTTTAAAGTGCCATTATTAAGAGGGAAAATAAGTTCAGAAACCTGGAGGTTCAGACTAAAGAGTTTCAGATGCTAGAGCCCACCCAAAGATGTCCACAAATCTAACAATTCTGAAGGCCTTCTGAGGATTTTCATCTGGGAGTCATGAAAAAATGGATGTGAAAAGTAGTTGAGGATACAGATATGAATAATAAAGTCCAAGAAAAGCAGTGAGCAATACATAGCAAATATAATATAAAAGCACTTAAAAGTTATTTAGAAGGTTGGGCTTGGTGGCACACGCCTGTAATCCCAGCACTCAGGAGGCTGAGGTAGGAGGATCCCTGTTGAGTTCAAGGCCAGCCTGGGCTACATTGTGAGTTGAAGGTCAGCCTGAACTACATAGTGAGACCCGGCCTCAAAAAAAAAACAAAAACAAAAAAGAAAAAGAAAAACATCTAAAGAAGTCTATAAAGGGTTGGTAGGAGAAAGGTAAAATGATTCCATGAATCAGCACTTAACCATATGTCAGGTACTCTTTTAAATGAATAGTATGAAAAAGAAACAGGAGAAAATGATGCTGTTGGAGATACCATGGGAAGAAGTGTTTCTAGGAAAGTGGTCAACTGTACCAAAATAAAACGAGGATCAAAAAACATTACAAGTGTTTTTAAGGTGGTCATTGGTGGTCAGTAAAGAGTTAGACAAATGGAGTTCAAATGCATTAAAATAAAGACAGACACGTAAGCTCCAAAATTACTGAGATCAGATGGTGAAAAAGCAATAAAACTCAAGATTTAAAACATTGCTTGATGACACACTTTACCCAAAGAAACCTAATCTGATCAGTCATGTCAACAGAATAACTCATCCTGGCATTTGTTTAAAAATAAATAATTACAGTTATAGGAAAAAAACAGTTAATAAGGGGAAAAAAACCATAATTTATTGGGTGGGATTAAGCTCCAGAACATCATCAGAATAGAAAAACTAGAAAGCAACCTGGAAATATTAAAAGCTTGGCCTAATTTATTAACTGCAAACAAATGAGTAAAGCAAATAACTATCTAAATTATACATCCCATCCACCTCTCAAAAATGTAACTTTTTTTACAGAATGCAGAAAAGGCAGCTCTCACGATGTCTGAAGATGGGTATGGTTAGGTAAATGTTGGGGGACCTGATGAGCCTATCTTTAAATGATATGACAAAAAACAAATATAAAACATCTTAGTCAATAAATGTCTCTAAGGAAAAGAAAGGTGTGTCAGGCACAAGGAGTTACAAAGGGCAGCAGAGGAAGAATTACACAAGGGTAGAAAATTAGAATCCCAGACCTGGTCTTCCCTGCACACTCTGCATGTGAAGTGGGGCTATGGATTATGCTTTGTTCTTAACAGACGCGGAAGCCGAGCAGCCCGCGGGTGCCACACTCGTCACAGGAGCCTCTTCTACCTTACCTGCCGCCCTCAGCTTCAGGACTGGAACCTGGTAGGTCCCAGGGCCCACATGGTCCTCGGTGCTGCCACCTTCGGCCACTCGGAGCCAGCGGGGCGCCCGGTCGTACAAGGCGAGTGGGCGGAGCCGAAGAGTAAGTCCGCACCCGCCTCTGAGGAGGCCAAAAGCGGGCGGAGGCCAGGCGGAAGTTCCCACCAGCCTGAGCACGCTCAGGCGTCACTTGCCTGTGGCTCAGGGGAGTCGGGTTTCCTCAAGGTCCACTTCTAGTTTCCTCAAGGTCCACTTCTAGCCCCCTGGCGAAGCCTGAAGGACAAGGAGGAATCAGAGCAAACCTCCCACACAACATGTGTTCCCCAGGCGCCGCTGACTCGCTCTGCGAGGAAGGAGCTCGGGGAACGGCCCCCGGCTCCCCGAAGCCGAGGAGTAGGGCGATTTCCCGGGCGCCGAGTGGGAGTGCGGCGGTCGCACTCGCTCTCCCGCGCCGGGGCTCCGCTGTCAAGGTCTCCTGGGCTGTGCCCACTGTGCACAAGTCCGAGGAGGCGCTTTAGAAGGGGTTGAGGGCTAATGCGACCTTGACCAGTTTCCGCTGTAAGGCCAGGAAGAGGCTCAGCCAAAACAATAGAAAAGCAATAGCGCCTATAATCCCAGTGGGAGGCTGAGGCAGGAAGACCGCAAATTCGACCCCACCCTGCACAAATTAGCGACCTGTCTGTAGAAAATAAATAAAATGGGGTGGGGGGTGCAGTTCTGCGCAAAGGCCTTGGGTTCCGTCCCTACTACCACACAAACGAGGGAGAAAAAGAAATGCAGCGCAAACCAGAGCCTGGGGGCTGTGAGCTTGCCCTCCACTCCCATTACAGAGAAAAAGCAGCCGGGTTCCTGACCTCTGTATAATCCTGGCCGCTAAGAGAAGTCCGGATGGGATGGGGGCCCGGGAGCATCCCCGGCTGTCATCAGAGCAGAGCCGCGCGCCGAACAGGCCGAGCCGCAGCGCGCCTCGAACCCGGCCCCTGGTCTCGGGCTGTTTCCCAGCAGAGCCCTGTCCGCCGGCCTCACACGGGACTGCTCTCCGTTCCTGCCCCACGCTCTCAGAGAATGTTCCTCTAAAAAAATTTTTCCTGCTCAGTGAAGAGCTAAATAATTTATTGTTTATTCACTTTAAAAATACTTACTGGTTGCCCTTACTGATTCACACCCTATTATGAAGATGATAAGATGTAAGAACGGCTCTGTTCTCCGGCTTTTGCGTGGGAGGAAAAACAGGTACAATCCAATGCAAGAGGTGACCAGCGTGATGTACACAATGGCAAGGAACAAATATTGCAGTATTTTGGAAACCTTTTCCCACTGAGAACCTACATAATAACCAGGAATCCTTTCTCATAGAAATTCTCATATTCTCTCACAGGGATTTTAACCTTACTTTCTGGGGGCGGCCACCGATACCTGTTCAGAAAATCCGGAATGCATTTACCATTTCACTTTAGGAAGCAAAAAGTCACAGAGGTAAGAAGTCACATGCTTTGGAGAAAGTTCGTACAACTGCTTCGTTTTAGCCTCCTCTTGGGTATTACTAGGTTCAGCTTTGCTCCTGATGATCTAAGCCGTGACACCAACCCAGAAAGTAAGTCCCAGTCAAGGCTGTAGTTGCCATGGACATTGGTGCATATTCTCACACCCGCTGTGACTGTGTCTCCAGTGGCCTGCTCTTTCCTTGAATATATTTGAATTTGAGAAATACACACTTTTATCTGCTTTCTGTCTGATTTCATTTCTGGCTATTGAGCTTAACCTAACCATGCTCACTTCAGCAGCACATATACTAAAATTGAAACAATACAGAGAAGATTAGCATGGCCCCTGCACAAGGATGACATGCAAATTCGTGAAGCGTACAATATTTTTGCCTCTTCTTTTTCCTAATCACTGGCAGGAAACCTGAGGCTCTGATAAAATAATAATAAAAAATAGCTTCACCTAACCTTAGACAAAGAGTCCTTCATGGGGTTTCTCCTAGCTGACTTTCAGACCTTTCCAAAGGAACTGTGTCTGAAGTTCACATCAGTCACAAGGAGTGTTTCTTCACTGTACCTACCTCCTGGGGGAATGGACTTTCCTCAGAGATTTCACAGGGAGGAGTGGCTGATAAATAGCAGAACTCCAGGATTTCTGCGTCTTCTGGTTGGATCTGATCAGAATATCACACCACTGACGTACAATCTACATACTCTTCATGATTTTGTAATACTTTATCAATTCTGCATTCTTAACAAAAAAGTCTTTCTTTTAAACATTTTAGTATAAAATCCTTTATTTCCTTGATGATTGTGGCTACTTTTCTTTGTATATTTCCCAGCTATTATTTCCTTCTTATTTCAGTAATCAGAATTAATGTAGTATTTCAAGACTAGAAAAAATTTTACATCTTTTCATGGTCTCTCATTGTGGTTTTCTTTTTGTTGTTAATGGCTTCAGAGTGGACTTTATTGAGAAAAGTGTAAAAAAACATTGAAATTCATGAAATTTAAATAATAAGACAGCAAAATTATACCTTGTAGCTATAGTAATCGCTATAGTAATCACAAATAAGATAAAGTCTAAATTATTGCCTAAGCAAAAACTACTTTATCAGGCTTCAGCTGCAAGCCCAAGGCAGGAAACACTGCACTCATTAGAGTGAGCCCAGTGATGAAATTTGCATTTGGAGCTGAAGAAAAGGGGGAAAAAGCAAATTCTGACTAAAGCATCACAACAGCCTAATCCAAGAAAAGCAATTTTATTAATGTCCTGCAGCACAGTACATTATTAATTGTAGCTATGCATTATAGCTCTCATTTCATTTCATAAAGAGTAATCAGTTTTCTTCAGGATACATTATGTTACTGTTTCACATGGTTTATCCCTTGGAAAGCCTACCTCTGTACCACATTCCTTTTCCAGAGACTGTTTCCTAAGCTACCAGATCACCTTTGGTCATTCAGTACTTCACCGCACCCCCTGGGCTGGTGTGGGCCACTCACTCCTGAGCCTCTCAGCGAGCACCCAGCCGGCCCCACAGAGACAAGAGTGCTACTGACAAGTGAATGTGAGATTCTCTTTGGTTATGGAACTTTTATTTAAGTTTATAAAAAATATAGCTAGAAATATTCTTTGAATTCTAAAAGCATTTTGTGACCAAATTACAAGTATGTAATGTCCTTGCAGAATTTACCACCTGGCTGGGTTCAGATCTGCCGCTTCCTCTGTGGGAGCTAACATTAGTGTTAGGTTCTCTACTTAGCAAATACATCAGCTTCAGAACAGTAAACTGATCTCCAGGAGCCCTGGGGGTGGGCAGCTGGTGAGCATGGACCCAAATGCTCTCCATGGCTTTGAACTCATTGAGCGCCTGCACAGGGTTGACATGATTCTTCTGGGATACCCGCTCAATCTTGGTCTGTATCTCATTCTGCTTCTCTCTCTTTACCAACAGCCTCTTCTCAGGCGCCTTCATCTTCCATGACATGGCAGGAAGGTTGAGGGAAGCCATGCTGTGAGACATTTTGTATTTGGTGGAGGCAACGTAGGACGCTTTCACTGTCTGCACTATGGCATTCATCAAGTTCTTGGCTGCCTGAATCAGGGACTTGCCGCTGTCCCCCCTGGAGACTACGAGCTCTCCACCTAGGTTCTGCACCTCAGCCTTGACCTTGCTGCAGATGTTAAGCTGGTGGCGGTAGAAGGTTATGCACTGCAGATATGCCAGCAGGTCCTGCTTGCAGGCCAAGTCTGGGCAGTGGTCTGCAATGGCTCGCCCAAGCTTATCCATCCTCGGTCCTGCCTCAGCAGTTTTCTTGGCAGCTCTGATCACATCTGATGTGTTCTGAGTGGCCCTTTACCTTGGGTGAAGTCAGTCATCTCCATCATGATCATGCACATCTGCTTGGCCAGCACAATGATGTCACTGCCACTGTCATCTCATTTGGACACTTCAGCATCCAGCTTGCTCTTTTTTTCTTGGAAGCTGGCCACTTTTCTGCAATCTTTGCTTTTTGCTCCTGGGAAAGCTGAGCCATGATTGCCCAGGCACTCTGGCCAACTATCAGCTGGTCATCTCCTGTCTGGACACTGGTCCTACTTCTGACATCGAAGTCTTCCATCTCAAAGTCGGAGTCATCCAGTTCCTCAGGGGTCCTTATCATAAGCACCACTTTTCTGATGTCCCAGATGCCATTGTACATGAGCCTGGAGGCATCAATAAACTCATTCTCATCCATGGGCTGGGCAGGATTTGAGCTGAGCGCTTCCACGGCCACTTCCACCTGCTCAGTGAAATGCAGCATGACTGTGTTGGAAAGCAGCTTGGTAGCTTCCAGAACTTTCTCTGTGTAGACTCCTGGGTCATAGTTGTCCATCTCTGAGGTTATTACATGAGTGATCTGGGCTGCCTGGCCTCTAATTGCACCAGCTGTGTGGTCCAGCCCATCCACATCTTTCTCTTGAAGAGCAATGACGCATTTGTTCACATCTTCCAAAATATGATTCTCTGAGACAGCCAAGAAGTCATCAGTGGAAGAAATATCATCAACAGATGATATTTCTATGAGAACATGGACTTGTTTTTCCCACTGTTCTTTAAAAAGATCCATATTCTCTTGAGCCAGTTTACTCTGCGGTTTTGCTGCTAAAGCCAATGCAGCATTAATAACCTAAGGACAGAGGGCTTCTGACTGGCTTGTGGACATTCGAACACACTTTACAGCTTCTTCGCTGTTTGAGATGGAACAGGTTAAGTTGGCAACCTCAATCAATTTGTTGGCATGTTCACAAAAATCTTGGGCATATTCCTTAACTTCTTTCTCATTTCCATTCTTTGCAGCTTCAATCAATACTAAAAGTGGAACGTTGGTTTCCAGGAAAGAATCTGAAATGTGGTCCATGACAGCTTTCTGGAGCTGTCTACACAAGTCCCTGGTCTTCTTTGTCATTTTATCTATTGCAGAATTGAGTGCATCGCTTCTTTCTTTACGTCCAGCATTGCCCATGTACTCTGAGAGCAGATTCTGCAGGGCCTGGCGGACAGCATTGCACTCTGCCACAATTCTCTCATGGCCATCATCACGCATGCAGGACAAGTCAGCCTTGAGTGCAGGACCACTAATGATGCTTTCCAGGCTTTCCTCTAGGGATGGCCTAAAGTGCTCCTCGCTGAAGTCCAGAAGGTCTACATTGATTTATTTATCAAAATTATTGAAAGCCTATGCCAGTTCTCCTCCTCCTGGTGCTGGGAAGCATCATCTGATGTGGTAGCCTGGGCAGCATTGGAAATGCCGGTGATTGCCTGCTGCAGCT